ATTTTATCCAAATCTATTATTTTCTCAAGTCTTTGTTATGCTGTTACTACCAAATAACAATTATATAACAATGTGATATTCTCGCTTTGCACAGTCCGTGAATGACATAGCGGAAAAAATATCGATTGTATAACAGAAATAAAAATATTGCACTGGGCAAATGTACACAAGGCAAATATGTATTATGTATATTAAATATATATTAGAAATCTATAAAAAAAAGTGTCGCAACCGATCTGTCCCCGATTATACATACACACGGCGTCAAAAATGCCTAGCTATTTGAACTTGCAGGGATACAGGTTCATATATATGTATACATATATGTATATTCAAAATATATGTATGTATTGTGTCCCTGCAAATTCAGATGACTAGGCATTTCTGACGCCGTGTGTATGTACAGTCGTGGACACATCGGTTGCGACACTTTTCTTTTTATAGATTTCTAATATATATTTAATATACATAATATATACTTTATAGATAACTAATATTTTGCAAATGCGAACCACGATATGTATTATCTTTAGTCTAGAGACAGTATAACCAATCGTCATCCGCATTTGCAAAATATTAGTGCGTTTTGAAACCCATAAAAAAGAAAGTGTCGCAACCGATGTGTCCATGAGTGTATGTATGTACATACATACAATGTATATGAATTTCAATATAGCGACGAAATGTTGCAAGTTATTCCGTTCAGTGAACCTGGCAATACATGGAACATTTTTCGTGCTCAACTTTTTTCCCTCTAGCCTATCTAGTTACGTCTCCTTATTCTTACTTCATGATCTTACAATAAGATGGCCGATGTCAACAGCTGTTACTGACATCAGCATCATCTTGCTGTAAGGTAAAATGAGATAATAATCTCAATAAACGTAAGTATTCTCTCTCAGTCGTAAATTGCCAAGAGTGCCAAGCTCCGGCTTTACCTTCTCCACAGCAAAAGCATAGGAATATGCTTAGTCTATTTACATATGTCTATGCGCTAAATGGAAGGCATTCTAAATTAAGCGGAGTTAGATGTTGTGGATTAAAATTAGTATATAATAGCATTTTCGGACGAAGCGGATTCGATCGCTCCGAGAGTGATTAATGACCTCACATGCTCTATTTTAGATTTCTGATTGGACAAGGAGAGCATATGACGTTATTAATCGCTCTCGGAGCGATCAAACTCGTTCCGTCCGAAAACGTTATAAGTAAAGAAACAATCTTAATATCTCAATAATCCAAAAGAAATTTAAAAAAAAATGAAAAGAATAAAATTTCTCATGATTTATAATAATTTATATTAATTTTTAGAACATTTTTAGATACATTGAATCGCAAGATACATACAATCGTCCTTTTTATAATGACCTTCGTACTTTACTTGTCCATTTCCAATGCGCATCTGCGCATGCGAGAAAAAGTGACAGTAGTGACACCACCCCACCAGTAGGCAGTAACAGTAGCAACACTTGGCACTACATGATCAACTGTATACTGTATGTTTCAATATTATTCAGTATTATTGAAGTGCATCAAAGTGTTTGGTACGCTACGCGTTCTACTCAGACGCACTTAGACAAGGCGATCGCGGAAACTGCGCAGTAAGAAGTAGACTTTTCCCCGTGATCTGTGGATCCATACGCAAAATTGAACGCCATGTGTTCCACTGACAACAGCATGAATAACGGCGTGCAGCGCGAGGACGTTGGCGACGCGTTCGGATCATTCAGCAGGTATATACATATACAAGACACTCAAGACAAATGCGTCCACTCGCGTCGTGGACACGCGCACACATTCGCCATGTACACAATGCAAACCACGTCGCAAAGCATAGTAAAATTGACTATGTTTCAACATTTTGTAATAATTTGCTGAACCGAGTTCATATCTAATAATTGAGATCGATATTAGTATTGTAACAAAAGATATTGTTGGAGCTGATTACTTTCTTATCTTGCGTGAGATGTCTTTTTTTTATATAGTTGATACGCGCAACAATGATTGTTCGAAAAAAGTTGCTCAACTTTTGTAACAACTTCTTTGAACGAATTAACTTTAATCGATTTGTGAATCATGTGCAATTCCCAACTTCAGACTAATCATTTTCTGTATAGTGCTTTATATGTAGGAATACTTATCTTTTCGCAGTTTTTTGTTTATTTCATAATTCATTTGTGTAACATATTTCGTATCTTTATGTTCCTGACTTATGTATATACATGAATAACATAAATAACAATAACCTAATTATTTTACATTAACAATAAATTATAAACAAAATCACTTTTTTTTACAAAAAACTTTTCAGTAAAAACTTTTACAGTGAAAACTGTCACTTTTTTTTATAAAAAAATTATGCTAGATGAAAAGATAATATACATGTCCTGCAAATCTTTGCTTAATGTTTCTTAGGTAATTTCAAATTTGCATTCTGAAAATTAAAAATAGCACATCCAATGTGGGATTGCAGGCAAAATGACTCAAGAATAAGTGTCTCGCAAAACATCATGTTCTAATTTCAATGAAATTTAATATATAGGTGTGATAATGAATAAATTTAGAAATTATTGAAATTAAAAAATTATTTTAAGAGAGTAAAGTATATGTAGAACAATTTTTGACTACTTTCCACTAAGTATATCTCAAAAGCTATTTTCAAGATATATCGAAAATTCAAGAAAGTATCAAAAATATTTTATACAAAACAAAATGTGTGAAGTTTTAGATTTTCCATAATTTGTCCAATAATAATAATTTTTTGTCCACTCTTGAAAAAAATTTTTTAAAAGAAAAAAATGTTAAGGACCCTTAAGTGCATTTTTTTTTTAAATTATAGGTATACGGGATTCGATTGTACACAATTTGTATGCATTTGTTCATCAATAATCATTTTTTGTCCACCTTGATACAAAAAATTGATTCATTTCTGTATATAAATTAAAGATAATAAACGCACTTATGAGTGCTTGTGACAAAGTTTGCTCTAACTTTTCATTTGTTCATAATTTTTTGTAGCAAGGTGGACAATAAATTATTATTGATAGACAAATGCATACAAATTGTGGACAATCGAATCCCGTATATAATTTAAAAAAAATGCACTTAGAGGTGCTTACGTTAAAATTTTTCTTTCTTTTTTTTAAATTTTTTTCAAGAGTGGACAAAAAATTATTATTGGACAAATCTGGACAAATTGTGGACAATCTAATGCCATGTAGATTTTGACAAAATTCGCATTTGGGGGTGCCAACTTCACACACCA